TGCCAGACTTCTGGTTCCCCGAAATGGCGGCCTCCGGACACACGCTTCTGCGACTGGTACTTTGTTACGCTTTGACTCCCAAACCTGAACCTGGCCTGCCCGGCCAGCCGAGGCATTTACATGCTCTGTTGGCAGTCATCCGGCTCGATGCTGATCGGCCGATCTTGTACGGAGGAGTAGCAAAATACAGTGGACTCCGAGTCGTGGGCACGATAGTGTGAACAAATATTGACGTCCATGCCACCCACGTGGCCGATTATCACCGCACTGTCTCCTCGCTCAAGGTCAAAAGCCAGCAGACCAAAGGTCGATTGCCAGCGAAGTGTGCGTACGGAGGCCGCGGGGGAGCCAAAAGTCTGGTGGCATGAATTTATATTTGTATTCTTCTCGCCGAACTATAGTAGCTCTGTGACGCTGAGTGCCCTTGTTCTCACCAGCGATCCCTACCCTGTGGGCACAGTAGCTGTGTGGATATGATAAGGGATATGCTTAAGCCTTGATGGACTAGATCTGAAAGGTCAGCAACAAGAGATGGTATGATATAGCCACATTACACGTTGCAGATCCCCTAGAAGGTTACTGCCACATTTCTACGATTCCCCTTTAGCCTGGCAACCCGGCGAGGGTGACCATGACACCCTACTTTGTTTGGAAGGGGCGAAACTAGCTAACCTACTGAGTTCTATGGCTCCGTGCTCGACTGCGCCCTGTCTGTTTAAGCCTGATGTTGTTTAATTAAGACTGTGTAAATATTTTTGTTCACGAGAAGGGACGCAGCTAGCACTTTCGACGGGGGGGGGGCGAGGGGCATGACATGGCTTGCGACGGGGGAGGATAAGTTTTTGGGAGCGAGTCCCAGCCCCATGGAAGTTCTTACGCAATATCAACGGACACCACAAACACTGATCGGCACAGAATTGAGCGTATCAATGAGCTATCGATATTTGTTTACCGCGGTGCCTTTAACAAATGTTTGAGCAGCACACTTTACATGTTCACTCGGCTATCCGGGAATGGTATTATTCAATCACGGCTGTAAGACTCTTCGTGTCACTGTCCATGGTAATGTCCTATGATATTCAAAACAAAAGTAGTTTTCCTGATAATCGGATCCCGAAATTATATTCCTGGAGCGTCGCGGTGAAAAACTGCGCGCGAACCTAACGGAGGGGGGTACTAAAGCCCCATTAGCAACCCCCTTCCCCTTTGGGTGAGCTACTATTCGTTAGACTCCACGGTTATGATGAACAAAAAGTACAAGGGCATCGTTGCTTATTTTCACTCCACTTGACATAAATTGTGAGGTTGTCCACGTAATTTATCTAATCACTTCAGTGTGTTGTCGTTACTCTGTAGCATCATGAGCGCATGGAATGGCTCTGAACTGGACTGAATTCTATTTCTGAACTGAACTGAACTCTATTTGCAGCTGCCCATAAGCATGGATAGCTCATACGTCAAGGAGGGGTTTATATGCCCAGTCTGCATGAAGGAGCTCAGTGGTGTCGCCGAGCTGCAGAGGCATTTTGACAGCAGCCACCAGCAAGAGGACAATCTCATCAAGCAATCTTTGAAAGGTGGGTCAAATGCAACATGATTTTGAAGTATTAGTGGCGAGGGAACATTCCCGCAATGCAAAATAAAAAACGGATGGACTTGAGAAGATGCTCAGATCGTTTTATATATATATATATATATATATATATATATATATATATATATATATAATGTGTGTGCGTGTGCGTGTGCGTGTGCGTGTGTGTATATTATGTGAGTAGCACATAAATGTATTCATTGCGTGTTGCACGCCCTAGAGCATCGGCAGTCGTTTTGATGCCATTTGGTTTGGAGGGTTCTCTCTGCATGAACGAGCTTAGTGGCAATACTGGGCAGCAGAATTCCTTGGTTTCTCATGTTGCTCCATGTGTTGCTGAGACCTTCTGACCATGTGATTTGGCAAATGTTTATGAGGTATCGTATCGCAGATCTTCGTAAGGAATTTTTGCACGGAAATGTTTGCCATCGCTAATGATAATAAAAACATATCGTGGATTTACAGGTCACAGATGCCTTTATCTGCAGATCGCACGCTGGAAATCGGAATGTTCGGAATGTTTTGGCGCGACTGTTGGCAGCCTTGTTCGCATTGCCACTGTTCGTCACGGTATATTCGTAAACGCCGACGTCCGTGTCGAACGCCTTAGACGCCAACTGGTGATGATAAAGAAGATGTTCGTGTGGTGAAATACCCTATCGCAGGTGGTCGTAAGCCCCGAAGAAAATGTTGTACGGGATTGGGCAGATAATTCCTTGTTAGTGTAGGAGATATATAAGTTTCTTTATGCATTGTGATGTTGTGATGTTATGTAAATCAAGTGATGGTAGCAGCTTCTGGGCCAATTGGGGGTAGTCAGGATCTTTAAGTATACGGTTTATATAAATATATATATATATATATATATATATATATATATATATATATATATATATATATATATATATATATATATATATACATATATTCCAGCGTGCGATCTGCAGATAAAGGCATCTGTGACCTGTAAATCCACGATATGTTTTTATTATCATTAGCGATGGCAAACATTTCCGTGCAAAAATTCCTTACGAAGATCTGCGATACGATACCTCATAAACATTTGCCAAATCACATGGTCAGAAGGTCTCAGCAACACATGGAGCAACATGAGAAACCAAGGAATTCTGCTGCCCAGTATTGCCACTAAGCTCGTTCATGCAGAGAGAACCCTCCAAACCAAATGGCATCAAAACGACTGCCGATGCTCTAGGGC